GATACAGTTGGTATAACAGACAGTGACGAGCAGGATGAGGCCGAGGGCCATGGGAGAACGGTGCGAGGCCGGTGGCGTGATTGATTGCTGATGAGTGACACCTGCGCGACGCGTCTCGTATCTCTCACGGAGGAGCGGAAGCATGAAGGGGGAGCGACGACAGTGGAGATCGAGAGACCGGTGGGCCGCGCAGCCACACAGACATAATAAGCATGGTCCATTAGAAAAACTGCAATTGCTTAATCCATGTTACCAACAGATGTTTACTGACGCAAGCCATGAATCCAGACACATGCCATGTGACATTGCCTAAGATCTGATTCAGCAAGTTTTGAATGACCTGTATGGATGAGAATTATAAGGACTTCCAGATTCCAGTACTGGTTCCATCAATGATTTTTTTTTTAGCATCTTTGACTAATAAATATTTGGTGGAAAAACATAATTTTCAAATGATGAGATAATTTAGGTAATATATGTATAACAATTATTTAAAATTATGTTTACAAATACTTTGTGCAGTCTTTTTTTTTTTTTTAGAAGAGTAGAAGTGAATTATAATAGAATTGAACAATTGGAATTAACTAGGCCTATATTAAATAGCAATACTCAGATAAAAATGTGGCAACATATACTTCAGTCATTAAATTACTTTTATGAAACACTTCACATTGTTTGTTACTGCTCTGATTTAAGTCTCTCGAGCCTTAAAGGAATAGTTCACCCAAAAAAGAAAATTTGCTGTTATTTTACTCTTCCTCTGGCCATCATTCATTCTTCAACAGAACACTAAAGATGATTTTAGATGAACCTATAGTCCTTGGTGATTCATAAAATACAAGTCAATGGTCGCCATCACTTTGAGAGTCAAAAAAAGTCAATAAAATTTAAACGGGTAACACAAAATGAATACCCGTGGCTCACCTATTTAAGGTCCTATGAAGCGGAACGATCAGTCTGTGCAAGACACTGAACATTATTTACATCAATATTACCAGGCAAACAAGAGTCTGGAACTCAAGCTTTCTATCGCATGATGTCTGTCCATTAGTGTTCTACTGAAGAAAGAAAGTTACCTACATTTTAGCCTGAGGGCGAGTAAATTAAAAGGACATTTTCATTCTTTGCCAAACTATTCCTTTAAGTATAACAAAACACAGTAGGTAAACTGTATTTAATTTGCTATAAAAAAAATTGACTCAGAGCCATTTGTTCAGGAATCGGAGACTAGTTGCATATGGCTTTGATTCACTAAAACAAAGCTGCTCAGCACAATCAGTGTTGTCTGATTTCCGTACAAATGACACTGTATGTTCTGCACTATTGATTTATTAATGGCATTGCTGTACCACTGAATAGTGCAAGAAACGTGTTCCATCCGCATTGGCGGAAGAATGCATATGCGAGAACCATTATCAGAATGGGCTCAACTGGTCAAATCTTGACCTCTTGGTGCTTACGGTGACACAGACAAAGCAGCATATTGGAGCAAACTATGAGTGTTGTAGAGAAATCACCGGAAGAAAGACAGACAAAAGGGTTTAAAACAAGTGGCTCAGAGCAAGACACTAAGCGTCTATGAAGGACAATAAGGCTTGCGAGAGGAAGAGAGGGGAAAGGTAAATAAACAGTACAAGCGAGCCGATAGCACACTGAGCAGCGGTTCGCATCTCTTGGGGCCCAGGCTGTGAGGATCTGATTTCATCCATTCATTCTCCCCAGTCTGGGAGGAAACCACCATCTCACTGGATCACAGATGCACCTGGAGTCCCCCGCAGGAAACCAGCAGTGACTTCCTTTGATTCAAATTTACCCCCCCCCCCCGTCCCCCGTCCCCCGCCCCCCCCCCCCCCCCCCCAACCCCCCCCCCCTCAGCGAGTTTGTGATATAGGATGGTCCCAGAGTCAAAACACTAACTCATGATGATGTAAAGAAGACAGTAAATGCAGTGTACTGGCATGTGTTATTCTTTCAAGACATTTAAATTCACATTGTTTCCGCTGGCACTCTTATTAGAGATTAATTAAAGGGTCCATTGTCCCTGGCTTTGAGTTATCTTGCATGTTTGGTTACAGAGCTGCTCTATTGACAAACAGATGTTCAAGTCCAATGGATTTGCATGTGGATGGTCTGATAAATGTTTATGGCTTGGAAACACTTGTTCACTCTTTTGTAGGCTGTTAACTCTTGTGAATGGACAACTACATTCAGTGTTTGTAGTGACCAAGCAAGTGGTAGGCTTTGAATAGCATAGTATACCACACAACTCTTTCTAAGGCTGCTGCATACAATAGCCTATGTATACAGTAAGCACAGTATGACATTTTTTGTATACTACAATTGCCAAGTAAGCGGTATTCAATGGAGCTTACTATATGGAATACTGCATCCCAAAATCCATTGCACTCAGTCCTATCCCTGATGAACAACAGCCCATGCATAAGGCAGTGTTTCCAAAGAATGTGGCCATGATCAAGACTGCAGTCACATCAGTGAAAAAACAAACAAATGCATTTTCAATCTCCTTTTCTGACGGGTCTGAATATTCCAGACACCAAGAAATTCACTTTTGAGATGACAACATCACATTTTATGGACTTTTTGGACTTTATGGACCTTACATACTACCAAAGGGTGCGGGGATTTCGGAACCACAAAAAAACAAAAAAAGACTCATCATAAAAATAACAAGACCGAATTTTGTTGGCACAGCAGGACACTTCAGAAACCACGGTTCTTATAAGAGGAAGCCCTGTTGTGGTTAGCACAAATGAAATATGGCCCAATTTAAGAATTTTGATGTCTTTGATGGACATGATGAGTTATTCACAAGCCACTTTTGATGAAGCAGTTTTTCCATGTATAGAATATGGTAAACAGGGAGAAGTTCCAGTAAATCAACTTTAAAATATGTAATAATACACACACACACACACACATAAATACAGTATATATGTGTGTGTGTGTGTGTGTGTGTGTGTGTGTGTGTGTGTGTGTGTGTGTGTGTGTGTGTGTGTGTGTGTGTGTGTGTGTGTGTGTGTGTGTGTATGTGTTTATAAAGACGTCTCTAACACTCAACAATTTAATTAAAAATACAGTAACAGGCCCCAATGTTGGGAAAAGCGATAAAATCTGTTATTGTCATTTAAAACAAGTTTAAATATTTTTTTTAATGTAATTTATTCTTGTAATGGTACAGCTGAATTTTAAGCACCCATTACTCCAGTCTTCAGATATCACACTAATATGCTGATTTGAATGTTGATACACTTTTTTCAGGATTCTTTGATGAATAGAAAGGTCAAAAGAAAAGCATTTATTTAAAATTGATTTTTGTTGTTGTTGTTGTAATAACACAAACACCTTTAGTACTTGTTGAATAAAAGCATTAATTAAATATAAAATAAAATAAATTTCTTTAAAAAATGTAATCTTACTCTTTCTGAAACATTTAAAATATATTAAAATATTTAAAAAATAATAATTGAATTGCCTACATAATAAGCTTGTGGCATATTAATGAAAGCGATGGAACTTAAGTTTCAAAGGGATGATTTTGTTCCTCCACAAGCGCCTCTGAGCTCCCCCTCTTGGAATAATGAATGGGAATGGAATGGCAGAGGGCTGGCGGCAGACACTATGGGAATCTGGCTCTGAGGTAAGCAGTTTCAAAGGCTTCTTAATGCACCAAAAGGCACAGTGATGCACCTCAAAAATCTCTACTCTACTTTTTTCTCACGCACACACAAACATGCATGTCAGCACATGCCATGTTGCACTTAAAGTGTGTCCAACTCTTTAAGAAACACTTTAAAAGTTAAAACTCAAATGACCTGCAAGGTCTACTACAGGATGCCAGTCACAGCAGCAGGGCTTGAAAATAGAAAAGAAAGAGGAAATGAGTAGAGAACCCAGATTTGTTCTTCCTGCAAATTTTCATGACCTATTCAGTGCAGTTTTTGCCCTGTTGTCTGTCTCGTCAAGACCTTTCCAGAGTCAGAAAGCATTGCTTAAACGAAAAACCAAAGGAGTTTAGTCATCAGCGGATCTGATATATCAAGAGAGGACCCACCCATTGATAGATAAAATATTTCCACTCACCTTTTTTCAATTACTCAAGGTGTGTCTTTATGAATCACATCATTTACTGATATGTGTAACCCATTTCCTGTTTTATGTTTAACTCAAGGGTATACTTTCTATAAACACTGCACAGACTATGAAATACTATAAATATTATCAATCTCACTGGGTGTATATATTATTACCTCACCGAACAGGGCAAAAAACATGTTCTGGGATGAGGTGTGTTCAAAGATGAGCGATCAAGTTCCAACCTGGATCTGCTTTTGACAAAACTCAGGAATATGTCAGGCCCCCCCACGGCATCCATGCCTGTTTTTCTAATGGTTATCCGCATGCATACATTTATATGCATGTCATAATGCCAATGAAGACATGAGGTTTTGCTGTCAGAAAACTTCACAAATAACTGTCATGTTGTGACATGTGTAGATTCCTCTGAGAATTACAAGTGTGTAGACTAGAGTACAAAAAGTTCAACACGGGCATGTCATTAAACTGACTTTAGGGAGGGTTAAAGATGACATTGAAAGGGCTTGCATTTAATAAATTAGTCTATTTTCTCTCACTCAAGAATGAATGGTCTTTTTGGTACTGCTGGTTCAGCAGTTATTGTATTTTACACTAAAGCTCAAAATAAGTAAGGTTTCAACAGGTGATTACAGGTGTTAAAATTGAGTAAAAAAAAAACCCAAGATGTTAATTTACTGAGGTAGAACAATAGCCTACACTTTCTAACACTTTTTCAGGATACTCTATCATAACCTGGATGAATGAAAACATTCATAGGCGAACAATTAATCGATTTTTTACCCGCTGGGTTTGAATGAAAAACGGGCTGATAATCATTAGCTCTGTGTCACGTGAGTTTCTAATTTCAAATGACAGCAAAGAAAGAAAAGAAAAACTGCGCTTACCCTGTCAAAACTCTTTCCGTACTCTGTGTGTCCGTGTTGAGTGTGCTGGGGTCAGTTTGGTTGGCCTGTTTAATAGATCTGTAGTCCTGTTGCTCCTCACGGTTGTGCAGAAGTGTTCAGCTCTCTCTCAAGATAGCACCGAATGAGAGAATGCTCGCGCTCAACTCTTCCATGCGCTACTATAGAGGAAGTTGAGTGAGTCACAAGCTCCCGCCCCAGTGGATGAAAACGGTCTTCCTTCTTTCCTGAAGGACGTTCCATTAAATGATCTTTAAATTGGGGCAGTTTGCATTGTTATCTGTCTGGAGGATTGTTGTTTGCCGGTAGGACGCGAGAGAGGCTGTCTGTAGGCTAATAATGGAAGTATAGCACAAATACTTACCTGTTAGGTTACTTTAACACCCACATCTGAGGAGGATGAATCGGCATGACAATGAACAACATATTTTAGACCAGGTTAATTAAACAGAGCTGAAATTATTTGTTTTGTCAAAACCAGACTAACCATTAGAATAGAGAACAAGTATGTTTTTCAAAAGGTTAAAAAAAAAAGTCTCGTTCAACGGATCTCTTCATCTTTTATTTGCTACTTTTCAAATGCCGTAGATTTTATTTTCACCATATGAAAATCTTTGATAAAAAGGAGAATTATGACATATTTAAAGAAGTAATTATTTATTTTATAATTACTAATTTTATGAAACAAGCTAGGAATAACTCATTTATTCCAAAAATATTTAAAATATCAGTTTCACAGAATGCTGTTGAGAAGAACATAATAAAATTAGTTGTGATGGAAATAAAAAAAGTGGAGGAAATGTTAATTTTTTTCAGAAATAATGACCATAAAAAACTGATGCATGTAAGCAAGTCCACTGGAGTGGGCTACCTTGTGCAAAATAATTGAAAACACTTTTGTTACACTCCACAGTAATGGATGAACAAATTATTGCTACATGATATTTACAAGAGTTTGCTATGGAAAACCTTCAGGCACTTAAATGTTATTGCATAACAAAGTGGTAAATGTTGCTTTGATATCTGTTTTCACTATGTATACATACACTCACCGGCCACTTTATTAGGTACCTGTCCAACTGCTCGTTAACACTTAATTTCTAAGCAGCCAATCACATGGCGGCAACTCAGTGCATTTAGGCATGTAGACATGGTCAAGACAATCTCCTGCAGTTCAAACCGAGCATCAGTATGGGGAAGAAAGTTGATTTGAGTGACTTTGAACGTGGCATGATTGTTGGTGCCAGAAGGGCTGGTCTGAGTATTTCAGAAACTGCTAATCTACTGGGATTTTCACGCACAACCATCTCTAGGGTTTACAGAGAATGGTCCGAAAAAGAAAAAACATCCAGTGAGCGGCAGTTCTGTGGGCGGAAATGCCTTGTTGATGCCAGAGGTCAGAGGAGAATGGCCAGACTGGTTCGAGCTGATAGAAGGGCAACAGTGACTGAAATAACCACTCGTTACAACCGAGGTATGCAGCAAAGCATTTGTGAAGCCACAACACGCACAACCTTGAGGTGGATGGGCTACAACAGCAGAAGACTCCACTGGGTACCACTCATCTCCACTACAAATAGGAGAAAGAGGCTACAATTTGCAAGAGCTCACCAAAATTGAACAGTTGAAGACTGGAAAAATGTTGCCTGGTCTGATGAGTCTCGATTTCTGTTGAGACATTCAGATGTTAGAGTCAGAATTTGGCGTAAACAGAATGAGAACATGGAACCATCATGCCTTGTTACCACTGTGCAGGCTGGTGGTGGTGGTGTAATGGTGTGGGGGATGTTTTCCTGGCACACTTTAGGCCCCTTAGTGCCAATTGGGCATCGTATAAATGCCACGGCCTACCTGAGCATTGTTTCTGACCATGTCCATCCCTTTATGGCCACCATGTACCCATCCTCTGATGGCTACTTCCACCATGTCACAAAGCTCTAATCATTTCAAATTGGTTTCTTGAACATGACAATGAGTTCACTGTACTAAAATGGCCTCCACAGTCACCAGATCTCAACCCAATAGAGCATCTTTGGGATGTGGTGGAACGGGAGATTCGCATCATGGATGTGCAGCCGACAAATCTGCGGCAACTGTGTGATGCCATCATGTCAATATGGACCAAACTCCCTGAGGAATGCTTCCAGCACCTTGTTGAATCTATGCCACGAAGAATTGAGGCAGTTCTGAAGGCAAAAGGGGGTCCAACCCGTTACTAGCATGGGGTACCTAATAAAGTGGCCGGTGAGTGTATATTTGTAATGTTATACTTGGATGAAGATACAAAATAAAGAACTTCTTGCAAGATTAAAGAAAGTGCCTTTGTCCTTGTAATTTAGACAACCACAGAAAACACTGAGCAATTGTTGTAAATTAAATTATGAAATTTGTGTTTAGCCATATCAGGGATTATATTACTGAAACCCCAAATTAGTTATCTTGAGTTGACTTATTTGCTAACAATAAATAGACTCAGCGATTGCCTCAGAAAGGTGTTTAGTTCCTCTTGTATAATCTTACCAAAGAGTTCATGTGTAATTGAAATTCATTAAACTACACCAGTGGCAAGAAAGTTTTTCTCTTAAACACGTTACAATGTCTGATCTATAATGTCATTGAGCTTTTATTGCAACTCTTTTGATGGTTTAAAAGAAATATTTATCAAATTACACCAAATTAAATCAAGTGTAAATTGTGAAATGCCTCCATTATAACCGCTTATAATAAAAAGTCCAGCTCTTATCCCTGAAAAAAAGGAGACAATTGTATCCTTGTCTTTAGATTCCTCTCATGTGTTTAGGACCTTCACATCTTTTATATTGACATTTTGTACTGCCAGCTCAAACTGGATATTGTAAATTGTGGGATGACTGTTAATTGTCCCATATCCACACTTTACAGGGTTTTGTGGTCGAATTTTGAGAATGATAACCAAACATTCAAGAGAACCCTCTTCCTGGAAGGATCTATTCAGACGAGCTGTTAAGATCCTTGGTAAAACCTGAAATTATAAGTTTTAAATCTCTTAAATGGTTTTCAAGGAATACTCCTCCAAAACATTTCCTACTGTCACAGAACATGGAGTAAAACATAAATAAGATTTCCCACAATCCAGACTACCCATATATAACTGGAATCAAGCAAAAAAAACAAACAAACAAACTAACATGACCTAAAAATTAAGATGAAATCTGAGTTATGAACTACAATAATGTAATTCACATGAGAGCTCCTCTTAATGTGTATTAGCGTAATCTCACCGTCTGTGTATAGAAACCTTACATTGGTTAGGAGAGACATTCCAAGGTCTTGAGCTCAGCTACTGGCCAGTAACCTTATGTCATTTGTGTGATTTTTAAAGGCCCATATTAAAAACCAAACAGTAATATATCTGTCAAGCAAGGGCATTCCAGAAACTCAGAGCTATCATAAACCTATAACCCCTCGTCCTGCCCATTTGACATTCTGCCCTCTCTTAAACACAGGTTTGAATACTAGTTGTTCCCTAAAGATTGTTGTTTTTGTTGAGAAACACATAGGCCTATAATCCAATTAAAATGCACAGGGAAATGCTTTAAATCTCATGTTTTTGTTTTACATGCTATACTGTGGTTCAGTTTCTGTAGGAAAAGTCTGTTGGGTCACTTGGTTTTATATGTCTTCCATAAAGAAGTTGAAAGCCCACAAACCCTGGGTCAATCAAGGCTATGACATCATATGGAAAAAGTAACCCCATAAAGGGTTTCATTCTCAATGAAAAAAGATGCATGTTATGCGCATCTCACACATTCGATTTGTTTTAAATCATGAAAGAGGAAATAAAGGACAAAACGTCATATGAGGTAATACATAGAATGTGTTTAGTTCTTCCACAGTAAAAACTAGATGACTTCAGTGTTCCATGACGAGGTTCATAATGAAACTTGTGCATTTCATTATAAGTTCCGTACTTATGAGTTAAGCTACTACTACTACTACAACAAAAAAAATTAAAAAAATTAATAATACACAGTGGGAAAGGAATCACAGCACAGAACATGATGTTCTGTATTTCTGAGTAATGCGGAGTGTTTTTGGGCCAGAGGAAAAGCTCTGTTCAATTCTGTCCTTGCTTATGTCCCATGCCCTGCATTTTGACACACCAAATGGAAATTTTCTGCACTCCCCCTCATTCTCAGAAGACGAGCCAACGATAAACTGGACCTTAGGAGGCGCACAGGTGTCGTCATCAGACTTCTGCTCTGACATTTGTCACACTAATGGCCGAAAGCTGTCTTTCTGGTTGAGATTCAAATTAGGTGCCTGTACTAGGGCGCTCTTTAAAAACCCTGTTTGAAAACAGTAACCAAGTATTATTTGTTAGTGTTAACCAATCTCTTTGGCAGATAGAGGCTGTCATTATCATGACCAAAGTGAGTTAAAGTGTCAACACACTGGCCAGGATATATAAACTAAGTGTCTCAGCGCCCAAGGTTTGTTATTGAGTTCTTCCATGCCGAGAGCCTGGATATCTTCCTCATACAGAACAGTAGACAACTCCTGTGATGGATATCACTTTAGATGGCCATATAAAGCTAATGTTGTGGTGTAAGCACAATGTCAAAGATACAGCTTGTGACTCTAAGCAAAAGTGCAGTTTTTGGAGAAAGAGTGAGTGATTTGATTTCAAAACATAACATTTACTGGAGTCAAAACACTTTTGACTATGGAATTTTCCATTTTTAAAGGTAGTTTTGGGATGAATCTGAGTATGGCGTGAAGGCAATGCCTGGATTATACTGCCATCTGCCGTCGACACTTTAAGCAACATTTATTTAAAACTACTTTTTAAATTAAGGCATACACTTAAATATCTATATTTTTGGTTCAGTTGAAGCGTTTACATGGTTAAATAATACCAAGGAATAGCCTAGCCTATAGATATGTTTTATAATCAAAGATACGATTTATTAACAATTTTCCTCTTTTATACATTGTTCATATTCTATATATTATTTTACTTTTATTTAATATAATCGTTGTAGTTTTTAAAGAAATGTCCAAATATGAATAATATTCGTATGCTTGATTAGGAACGATAAACTGGTTTTGCTGCGAATCTGCTTCCGATAAACACCACGGTAGCTGTGATCCATCGTATACTATCCACGTGAGCGCAGAACTACCGGTATTCGAGATTGTGCGGTGAATACAATTTTCTGTTTACGGGTTTCCCATTAAACACAGACGAATTTGTTTTCAGATTTTTACTGCCATGTCTTCTTTTCGAAAAGCCTTGAAAACTAAACAACGAGACCACAAAGAGCGATCACAGGTAACGTTAAGTTTAAACATACTGGTAACTCGCGTGCTGCCTTGCTAATTGTTGTATGTCAAATTTGTAACAATGTATTATATTTCATCTGACAAATTAATTGTTGAAAGAATGTAGTTGTGTGTTAAGTTAATTCGGTAAAGTAGGGGTTTTCTGAAATCCGATGGCCGCTTTAGCTTTTGTCATTCCCCAGTAGCGAATGAGAAGATTTAGCTCACCACATCTCTTATTTGTTTATTAACGTGCCTTTTCCCCTATCACAGCTCGGTTTCAGGAAACATTTGGGTCTGTTAGAGAAGAAGAAGGACTACAAACTTCGTGCAGAGTAAGAAATAAAAAGATTTGTCATTTTATTGTAGGATGTTGCACGATTTACGTTTTATGTTTGTTGATTGAGTCTCTGCGAATAGAAATGTTCGAACTCTGAAATGTTTTGTGGTTACACAAGTAGCAATTTGTCATTCTTTAAAATAAATCATAGTTATAGTTCATTATAGATAGTAGTAAATATAAGGTACTTGGTACAGTGTAATAGCACTGAGTTCTGTATAATATGACATTTTAGATGTAATACATTTTATGGTGATAAGATCACATTGCATAGATTATATTACCAAAGCTGATGTACTTTTACATTAGGTTTGTTTGTTATTAGAATATAGTTAATGCTGCACATTATCATTTCAATACAGTTTACAAACCTGTTATTTGTAATACAGTGACTACCACCGGAAACAGAAGACCATCCTGGCCTTGCGCAAGAAGGCCATGGATAAGAACCCTGATGAATTTAACTTTAAGATGATACACAACCAATTAAAGGTTTGTTGCCTCTTAGAAAGTCTACAGGGGCTACTCTTTTTGCAGTTTTCAACTACAGTAGTCAACATTTGAAGTGGATCAAAAAAGTTCATTTAAGTTGTCCTAAGACAAGAACGAGCATTGTTCAAAATTCATGTATAACTTTGATGAAAGGTTTTGATCCACTTCAAATGTTGACTACTGTAATATAACCCTGCTTATTGTGCTTCTGTTCATTCCGGTTAGGATGGAGTTCACATGATCAAACCAGAAGAATCAGTGATGACGGATGAGCAGAAGAAGATGATGAGGACCCAGGACATCAGATATGTGGAAATGAAGCGGGTGTCGGAGATGAAGGTATGGCTAATTCTTCTTATGTATCTGAGTATTTGCGGTTCCATCCCCTTACAGTTGAGATTAATGGCATAAGTGTTTGTATTTTTCAGAAAATCGAAAGGATGAAGTCAGAGCTCCATTTTCTTGATGTCAACGAGGAAAAGAAAAATAAACATGTCTTCTATGTGGACTCAAAAAAAGAAGGTAATCTTGTATAACTGCACCTTTTGGAGGAAACAGAGATGGAGCCTAACCCTGTTACATAGTGTATGAAATTTTATGTTGTGTTTTAAATGTGCCCTATATAATAACAAGTTTATAGTACCATATTACATGCATTATGATGATTACATTGCAAAGCCTGAAAATTTTTTTTTTATTAATGTAATGTATATTTTAATTTGACTTAACTTTAGCTTTAGTTGAAGTTAATATTGTATGATTGTGTATTTGTTGAATGCGTATTTTCATAAAATAAAGTTTAACATCAAACAATAATCGGTGGATCGCCCTGTTGAAAAAGAGACATTTTCTTTTTATTATTAAATTCCCAAATCTGTTTTTGTTTCATGCCAGTGGAGGATTTTGACCTGGCCACACACCTCAACACGGTGCCTGCATTGGTGGACAGAGTGTATAACAGACCAACAATAGAGACCCTGACAAACAAGAGCATTCTGGGAGCAGTGGAATCTAAGTCAATAAAAGTAACACATTCTCTGTATAGCATACTATATACATAACATAAGTATTTTTACTGTGTACATTGCACTGTTAAACAATGAACAACTTTATTTTTATTAACAAAGATTAATAAGTACTGTAACAAATGTGTTCATTTTAGTTAAGACATTAACAAATGTTAATGAAGGAGACCATTTTAGTGTTACCATGACAATATATAACTGTATAAATATAAATTAATATAAATAATTATGTAAACAGTACATTATATCAATGATTGAATTTGATCATTTATCAATAATATAAATTATAAGAAATCATATTTCTTCTAAGTTTCCTCTGAATTTATTGTCCTCTTTCTCATATTTGTCTTTCTCTAACATGTTTATTCCCCTTTTCTTAGAAACTTTCCAAAGAGAGGAAACAGCAGTATCTGAGGCTTTCAGAACGTATAGACAGAGAACAGGAGATGTTTGTCATTAGTCAAAAAATCCAGACGAGAAAAGATCTACAAGTGAGTGAATTCATCTACATTCCCCCTAACCTTTTCAACATGAGCACTGCTACTGATTAGGAAAATTCCTCTCATTTATGTTTACTAAGGCATGGTTTCAACATTGATCTTGTATTTTTTTTTATATTTTTTAATAGTTGTTGGACGTTCTTCAAGAGTTTGTTTGTTTGCATTATTGTGTGACATCTGGGTTGTGCTTTTATCTCTGACAGGATAAGGTTAAGAAAGTGAAAGTGCGTAAGGAGACCAGCACTGCTCCTGCTATCTATAGATTTGAGACCAAGAGGAAGAGATGATGTCTTTGGATCATCACACCGAGGAAACAATCTCTGTCTTGTGGTTGTCAATCAGCTGTAATATCTATGAAGTGGACTGAACCTGTGGATTTGTCTTTCCCCTCTGTAACCAACCCAGAGAAAAAATGCTGGGCGTCTTCCACACTATAAGGCAAGGAGATTGTACATATTTATGGCAATTAATTTTATGCATTGAAATAAAGTTTTGTCTTTAATGTTTTGTAGTTCTTTGGTTTTATCAGTAGATGGCACTAGCACATCTCATCAAATTTACAACCATGATACAAAATGAGCAACTTTCCTGCCACTTGAAGTTGGCATTACTTTTGAAAATGTAACTGCTGTCTTCACAATTCAGCCAACTCTTGAGTTATATCTTAAACTATTGGATTATTTATTTAAAAAATGCACCAAAAAACCCCAAACTTTAATTGAAGTAAAACAATTTAAACATCTCATTATGAAATGTTTTTCTCCATTACATGTTGGCCACAATTATTGGCCCTCTTTTATTCAATACTTTTTGTAACTTCCATTTGCCATCTGAGTCCTTATGTGGTTAGAGAACACCTGGCAAGAGATCAGAGACCATTCCTCCATCTCTCCAGATCCCTTAAATTCCGAGGTCCATGTTGGGGAGTTCATTCCATTCATTTTCTAGGGTTCAGGTCAGGGGACTGGAATGGCCATGGCAGAACCTTCATTTTGAGAGCAGCGACCCATTTTTGTGTTTTAGATGTTTGTTTTGGATCATTGTCCTGATGTAAGATTCAACTACGGCCCATTATAATATTTCTACCAGAGGCCGTCAAGTTTTTATTTTTGGTCTGTTGATGTTTGAATCCATGATGCCATGTATCTGAACAAGATGACCTCCTGCAAAAAATAGGCCCACAACATTAAAGATCCAGCAGTATATTTAATGCTCGCATGAGGTGCTTTTGTATACCTGCAAGTGCACCTAACCCATCTTGAATGTTTGCTGCCCAAAAGCTCTTCTTTGTTTTTCATAAGACTATAGAACCCAGTCCCGTTTGAAGTTCCAGTAGTGTCTGGCAACTGAAAATGCTGGAGTTTGTTTTTGGATGAGAGCAGAGGATTATATATATAACTCTTAAAGGATTAGTTCATTTCAAAATGAAAATTCTGTCATCATTTACTCACCCTGATAACTGATAAAAAAGAAGATATTTTCGGTAACCAGACAGTTTATGTACCCCATTGACTTTCATAGTATTTTTTTCCCCTGCTATAGAAGTCAATGGGGTCCATCAACTGTCTGATCATCGACATTCTTCAAAATATCTTCCCTTGTGTTCAGCAGAAGAAAGAAATTCATACAGGTTTGAAAACTTGAGGGCGAGTAAATGATGACAGAATTTTCATTTTGAATTGAACTAAGGTTTGAAACACTATTGTGTGTGTGTGTGTGTGTGTGTGTGTGTGTGTGTGTATATACAGTATATATACACTCACCGGCCACTTTATTAGGTACACCTGTCCAACTGCTCGTTAACACTTAATTTCTAAGCAGCCAATCACATGGCGGCAACTCAGTGCATTTAGGCATGTAGACATGGTCAAGACAATCTCCTGCAGTTCAAACCGAGCATCAGTATGGGGAAGAAAGGTGATTTGAGTGACTTTGAACGTGGCATGATTGTTGGTGCCAGAAGGGCTGGTCTGAGTATTTCAGAAACTGCTAATCTACTGGGATTTTCACGCACAACCATCTCTAGGGTTTACAGAGAATGGTCCGAAAAAGAAAAAACATCCAGTGAGCGGCAGTTCTGTGGGCGGGAATGCCTTGTTGATGCCAGAGGTCAGAGGAGAATGGCCAGACTGGTTCGAGCTGATAGAAGGGCAACAGTGACTGAAATAACCACTCGTTACAACCGAGGTATGCAGCAAAGCATTTGTGAAGCCACAACACGCACAACCTTGAGGCGGATGGGCTACAACAGCAGAAGACTCCACCGGGTACCACTCATCTCCACTACAAATAGGAAAAAGAGGCTACAATTTGCAAGAGCTCACCAAAATTGAACAGTTGAAGACTGGAAAAATGTTGCCTGGTCTGATGAGTCTCGATTTCTGTTGAGACATTCAGATGTTAGAGTCAGAATTTGGCGTAAACAGAATGAGAACATGGAACCATCATGCCTTGTTACCACTGTGCAGGCTGGTGGTGGTGGTGTAATGGTGTGGGGGATGTTTTCCTGGCACACTTTAGGCCCCTTAGTGCCAATTGGGCATCGTTTAAATGCCACGGCCTACCTGAGCATTGTTTCTGACCATGTCCATCCCTTTATGGCCACCATGTACCCATCCTCTGATGGCTACTTCCACCATGTCACAAAGCTCTAATCATTTCAAATTGGTTTCTTGAACATGACAATGAGTTCCCTGTACTAAAATGGCCTCCACAGTCACCAGATCTCAACCCAATAGAGCATCTTTGGGATGTGGTGGAACGGGAGATTCGCATCATGGATGTGCAGCCGACAAATCTGCGGCAACTGTGTGATGCCATCATGTCAATATGGACCAAACTCCCTGAGGAATGCTTCCAGCACCTTGTTGAATCTATGCCACGAAGAATTGAGGCAGTTCTGAAGGCAAAAGGGGGTCCAACCCGTTACTAGCATGGGGTACCTAATAAAGTGGCCGGTGAGTGTGTATATATATATATACACACACACACACACATACACTAGTGTTGTTTTTATCCTTTGGATTTTCACTTGGATACATAATGTTTTAAGAGTTAAACAGAAGTTACATTTCTCAGAACTTTAAATGGCCCACTTTTAAACACTCCTCCACCAATCGTGTTCCTGCTTGTGTAATTGTTCATGTGAAAGGTTGTGTGCTGTCTGCGCAGACTGAGCTTTTTGTGTCGTCTCTGCGTGGCTTGATTGATCATGCAGGTGGCAGCGGCTTCATAAACAGGCCCCATCCATTACTCTCTCTCCTGGGAAAGAGAGGAGGGGTGAATCAGGAACAGGGAAATGTCATTGTGTTCAGGAGGAGCGAGCCAGGAGTCTATCTGTGCCAACGCTGACCACAGGAAAAGCTGTTTGTAATGAATGCGGTGTGGATACTGCTGCTGTACTGTAATGCTGGCACTAAACATTTTAAATTCTATACATGTTTTTTTTTGTTTTTTTTTAAAGGAATTTCAAGTGTGTTCACAATGACATGAACATGCACGTTTAAGCCTCGTGATATTTACAAAGCAGCTCCGTGTGACCTATCAATATTGACCTTTTGTATTTGCAGAATTCTCAGCCAAAAGAAGTGACAGGCGGAGTGTGCGCGCATTTGTGCGTCATGTGGTTGAGTATTCGTCACTGCGACCGCCTCGGTTTTGGAGTGGAGGGTCACGCAGCCGTGTGCACAGTTCCGCTCTGCTTCCGTCTGCCGTTACACAGAAGGCCACTGTTCTTACTGAAGCCTGTCTTTCATTCAGATCAGCTTTTGCACAGGGGTCATGGCTGCAGGTCTGCCAGTGCAGTGTTGGTAGTGACCCCCTAGATTTGAAAGATATTGGTCAAAATCCACCACATTGTACCATTATGTTATTCACATTAGGAGATGTAAAAGAGGCCTCCTGTTGCCCTCAAGGAGTTGACAATAGCTTCGAATAGGCGCATTTGATGGAATGCTGACCCTCAGTGCTTTTGCTCACTTTTTGTTGGTTTGTTCAGTGGAACTGCACTGATGTGTTAAGTGTAATGAGGGACTGCAGGTAACCATTGTTCTTTTGGATAAATATAGATCATTTTTGAAGGATTTTTAACACCTATAAAGAAAGAATTGGCTAGTGTTAGTTGAAAGTCATTCTGCCACGTTTTGTACCTCAAAACCACACATATACATACATAGATGCGTCATTACCGGCTGTTTCTATGGGCCTCTATATTGGAACGGTTAAAAGGTTAGTTCAACCAAAAATAAAAATTCTGTTAGTAATTACTCATCCTCATGTTGTTCCAACCCCGTAAGACTTTCGTTCATCTTCGGAACGCAAATTAGATATTTTTGATTAAATCTGAGAGCTGTCTCACTCATCCATAGGCTTCTATTGTAATTGAAACCTGCCGGCCCAGAAAGTTAGTAAAAACATAGTTAAAATAGTCCAAGTGACTACAGTGGCTCAACCTTAAGTTTATCAAGCAACGAGAATACTTTTTGTGCGCAAAAACAAACAAAAATAACGACTTTAACTATTCATCTTCTTCTTTTTGTGGGCCTCTGAGTGAGTTCACGTAGTGTAACCATAGACAGTAAAAGAAATGGACACAGCACATAGACACATAGACTTCAAATCTCAAATCAAAGTCAAATAGAAGCACTCACTTCCTGATTGCCAAGCGCACTGCACAGGCTCAAACTGAGCTTGATGACGTAGATGTGACGTGAGCAACCTGACTGACAGTTGTACGTCTTCTAGTTGCGGTGCCAAGAGGAATCTGAATCATTCCCTTCTGAATCTTGCAGAGCCGGAGATCGTGAGTATTAGCTGTCCATGAGCTCGCAGCAGGAGCAACTTTATGACTCTCTATGGGCTTCTCCCTTGACTTTATGCCTCCACGTCCCCCGATTGCGCGTGAGCTTCTACATCTGTCTTTACGATAATGTACTCTTCTGTGCGACAGAGAGTCGCGTGTTATGACGCAATCGTTAGCCTATTTTTACAAAAACTGCTTCTACGGGGCCACAACGTATAAGATACAAGGTAATGGAGCATTTTATACATTGTCGTGTTTCTTTAGAAATAAACAATGGACAAATGGAGTCTTTAAACGTCTCAGATGTAAAGTTATTCGCTGTCAAAGTGACGCAAAAATGAATGGGAGTCAATGGAATGCTAACAGCAGGTGAAGGCTTGTTAGCCAATGGCGGCGCCCGGGGAGACTTCAGTTTCCGGCTGGTGGATTACTACGTCAGAACGTAGCCTCATTATTGGCCGATGCTGGTCATGAGTGTGAGCCTACGTTCTGACGTAGCGCTGTGCTGTTACACTACGTGAACTATTTTAACGATGTTTTTACTAACTTTCTGGGCTGGCAGGTTTCAATTACAATAGAAGCCTATGGGGTGAGACAGCTCGCAGATTTAATAAAAAATATCTTAATTTGTGTTCCGAAGATGAACAAAAGTCTTACGGGGTTGGAACAACATGAGGGTGAGTACTGACAGATTTTTCATT